CCCGATGATACTGTCGGACGTATCAGCACTGACATGGCCTTTGCTTGAAGTTCCTGTTGGCCACTAAATAATCGACTGAAAAGTTACAACGTGCGTAAATTAAGATCTTTAGAGCACCTGAACTAATGCCACGCCAACTGTCAATAACACTAGGGCCAGCCACTTCAATCGGTTTAATGAACGGCCAAGAATAGTCACTGAGAATAATGCAGTGGTAAGAATTTTTAACTGGTACGTAACCTGAAACGATGGGATTTTCCAATATGTCACAAGCCCAGAGAACAGCTAATAAACCTGATATGTAGCCGCATCTAGCTTGGAAAGAGCAAGAAACAGTAGATTGTTCTGGATGACATAGAGAACAGCAGGTACGGCTACCTAGAAAATTTTCACTCAAAGAATTTTGGTTATGGGAATGATAATATAGACTTAAAGTCCAACTTTTTAATTTCTTCAACGCTAGAATGAAGAGTATTCTGTTATCAAAAGGAAGCAAGGCGATTTGTTTACTTTGGCATTTCCGATAGCGCTGATTCAGGCAGCTGCGAACATAAACTAAGGAAGACTCCAAATCAAAGTGGGAATTTGTTCATAATCAGTCCGCTTATGAACACAAACTGCTTGAGCTGATTCTCACAGCTCAAAAAGATTCCAAAAAATTATTGAACGCTTTGTAGATTCATCCCAATAATGGCGCTAAACACCAAGCAAAAGAGTGAACATAGTGCCAATGTGATATTTTTCAACTCCTTAAGACAAAGATCCGGTTGCGGTCCATCCATGTGTAAACAAAAATTTATCAGTAGATGAGACAAAGATGAAAAACGCGCAATAACAACCTACTTTAAGTGTTTCCTTTCCTTTTACGACGACTTCTGTGTGCAGTTCATTCTTGAAAGAAGATAGCCGCCAACCTTAACAAAAATAATTTGGGCAACTACTATATGATTAGAAGTTAGAGGGCCAGATATTGTAAATGAGGTAAACAAACACCAATCGCGCTTGATTATGTATATATCAAGCGACTAACCGTACACGGTATAACTGCAAGAAATAGACTAACTGTATAGTTCTAAAGGTAAGGTACAGCAAGGTGGCGACAGCTGAGCTGTGTGGTGACCTTGTTTTCTTCGCACAAGACGTGCGATGTGCAGAACATAAATTGAGTGACAAACGGTCATTTGATTCACTAATAAAAATTCACTGTATAATCTGTATCTGAGTGGATCTAGTATTCTAGAAGCAGATAGAATAACTGTTAAAATTCCAAGAAGATGGTTAGGAGCTAAATTTGAATGATTTTTTTCAGCAAATCATATGGTCGGGATAAGATTGGTTAGCATTCAATCTTTGCGCTTTTTGTAAGATCAAGCTGCAGCTGTATGTCCGGAGTGATTCTCGATCATACAAAAATCATAAAGCAACAATCTCGAGTTCGTGTGTATGGTGCACTCGCAAAAAATGCATAAGAATTATGAAAGCCTGAGGATGCACACCACTAATTAAGGGAAGATTTCAACAGACTTCTTAATAATAACTTCTGAACTTGAAAATATTTTTTTCCTTGGCGCTTTGTTTGAACGGAATTAGGGAATGATCCTCTCCTTGTCACCGAAAAAGAAACGATGGCTCACAAACTCACATTCCCTCCCCCCCCCCTCTCCCTATCGATTGATGAGAGTGGTGCCCAGATGCGATTTAGTCAATTAAACTCTCGTTTCATAAATTTGGTATTTGTT